TTTATTTATTTATTTATTTATTTATTTATTTATTTATTTATTTATTTTTTCCCTTGTCCTGTCCGGCATTGTGACACTTAGAATTATTGTCTGACTGTCAAAGTGATGCCCAACAGATTTACTTTCACAAGCAGAGCATTATGGCTGGCCTTAATGCTCCACTTGATACGAAAATTAAATTTTATTAGAATTTGCCATGTTTCAGATGTAATGGACATGGGGATGAAAAACAAATGATATATAACATATATAATGATACTTATAACATCATTAGAAATGATTTTATACAGTATATGGTAATACAAGATCTATTTGATGTCCACCACAACCCAACTGAGTGTATATCTGATAAACACTTGAATCTAACCACCTGTGTGAGCATGCTTGTTTCTCCATAAAAATGTTCAATAGTGGATGTGGGGACCCACAGACATCCCCACAGGACATGATGGTAACACAGGGAAGACCGGAACCACAGACACACAGCGGCCCCCAAGCCTGGAACTCCAGGAGTCCCCCAACAGGGACACCCGCACCCCCCAGAGAGAGAAGCAAAGGGAAGCCCCGGGTGATCCCCAACCACCACAATGCAGAAACCCCAGGAGGATGCAGCAACGAGTCCACAGGCCCCGCCGGCAACCCGCTTCTACAGAGTAGATCCGGCCATGGACACCAAGTTCTGAGTCCCGAGGTCATACCACTCGCTAACAGAGACTCGACAGAGCCAGGGCACCCAGGCCCCGGCAGGGAGCCACCAGGGTGTGCCCGCACACACCCCACTACCCAGCCCCAGCTATTGAGAGCTGCCAATGCACCGGCGGCAGGGGGGCCCACCACCGGAGGGGAGTACAACACAACAAATGGGAGGGAGGCAAAATTGATCCAAGAGAGGGGACCGCCCAAAACCCAACCTGAGACATAAACAGGCACACAGAGACAGCCCAACGGACCCTCCGTCGGGCCATCCATGTGCCCCACCAACCCGACAGCGACCGCAAGTTGGCCCCAGGCCGGGGGCCAGAGCAACAGGGAACAACAGCCAAGGAAGGCCAGCCCAGAGCACCAATGCTTACCTACAGCCCCACACCACAGACCCGGAGAGGCCCCGGCATGCAACCCATGCACCCCCCCCACCCCCACACACACACACACAGCACCCCCCACCGCGAATGTCACATCAGGCTGACCAGCCAGCACCCCGTCAAAGTGGAGCCACGCCCCCGACCACCACCATGCACCACCGAAGACCACACATGCACAACCACAGCCGACCCTCAACCAGAACCTGGCAGCCACCTCAGCCTAAGGGCCGGCCACTGTAACCAGGAACCCTGATCAAAAGATCCAAACAACCCAGGGAGAACCGGAGCACCGGCCCCACCCCCAGTTGCCCCCCAAGGCCCAACACCCACCCACAGCACAGACCCCAACCAGGCAGCCTACCCCCCCACCCTGCCACCGACCCCAAATGTCAAACGGCGAACGAAAGTTTAAAAACTCCCTTTTAAAAGGAAGAAACCTCCAGCAGAACCAGGCTCAGGACAAGTGGCCATCTGCTTTGACTGGCTGGTTAAGAGGACAGGAAGGAGAGACAAATGAACATAGAATGGTAGGTCCAGGTATAGGTCCAGGTGTATCTGAAAGACAAAAAAAAAAAACACATGTTAAGGATAGAAAAAATAATTACAAATACAAAACAGGTTGAGCAGAGTAAGTAAAGACAGTAGCAGAGTGGTCAGTTTGTCTTCCAGCAGTCTAAGCCTATAGCAGCATAACTAAGGGACAGCTCAGGAAACCCAAGCCGACCCTAACTATAGGATTTAGCAAAAAGGAAAGTCTTAAGCCTAGTTTTAAAACTGGATAATGTGTCAGCCTCACGGACAGAGATTGGAAGTTGGTTCCACAAGAGAGGAGCCTGATAACTGAAAGATCTGCCTCCCATTCTGTTTTTGTAAATTCTAGGAACTGTAAGAGTAGCACTTGCTGCAGCCCCAAGATGGCTGCTGATTACCCACAGCTGACGGTCATCTACCTGATGAGCTTCCACCCTACATAAGGCTGCAGTCAAGCTCTACTCTTTGCTGGAGCATTGATTCCTTTTTTAGTATTTATGCTTCTAGCCAGTATTACTAGAATTGATGAAAGAAAACTTACCTTGTTTTTGTGTGCCTACAGTCATCCTGTTGTTGGATCCACTCCTGCTTCGCTTTTGGTCCAGTGACTCATTCCCTGTGCTTTGCCCTCCAGCCACTTGCCTGCCTTGAACTGCCTGTTGGATTGGACCTCTCTGGAGACCTTAGACTCAACAGAGTTTCTCTGCAAATCCATCTGTAAGGAGGAAACAAGACGACTCAATAATTTCCTGTATTGACCTCTTTGCCTGGCCATCCTGACCAAGTCTTTCCTTTTCCAGGGGTTACAGTCAACCTACATGTGTATATATGTATATAGAACCACTGTAAATAAATAACACTGTTCACTTTTCATCTCGAGTCTTGTGTTGTTTGGGTCTCGTTACAACTGGGTACCTTGAGTCATAACAAAAATGCTCCAGCCAAACAAAACCCAGAACGAGACCATGAACGAACAAGCTTCATCCTCTTCTCAAGCTGAGCGAATTTATCAACTTGAAGAAATATTAAAACAAGTCTTAGTCCAACAACAAAAGACTCAGTCTAACTTACAGGAGCTTGGAAGAATGTTTTTTTCTATTAATCAGAGACTTGCACCCTCTCCACCTACAGCCCCAGCTGCTCCACCAGCAACGAGTTCCACTGACAACAGCCCTGTAAGTACATCAACTAACGAACTGTTTGTCAAACCTTCAGAGCTTTTTTCCGGGGACTCTGATCAATGTGAAGGCTTCCTCCTCCAATGCAAACTCGCTTTTAGGGGAGCCCCTCAACGCTACTCCACAGACATCGCTAAGATCACATACTTTTCCAGTCAACTCAAAGGTAACGCTCTTCAGTGGGCAACTTCATTTCTAAACCAACACGACATGGATACTGTTTCTTTCACAATCTTCTCACCGAGTTCCGCAGGATTTTCGATCGGCCGCTGTAACAACCCAACGCAGAGAAGCGGTTGCTGGGTTTACGTCAGGGCCGGAGACCTGTATCCGAACATGCCCTTGAGTTCCACATTCTCGCCGCACAGACTGGCTGGAACGAGAGAGCGTTACAAGGTACATTTCTAAATTCCTTGTCAGAGTATATCAAAGACCAGATTGCGGCACGAGATGAGCCGCCTAGTTTTGACGCACTAATAAATTTAGCAATATCCCTGGACGAACGCTTCTGGGAATGACAAAGAGAATGGGACTACAACTCCCAGAGGGCTGCCCCTTCCGGTCTTGCCACATCATCAAGAGGGTTTCGCAACTACAAGCCGGTGTTAGAGAACTTCAAATCCCAGGGTTACATTAATCCTGTCCCCACGGCTCACCTAGCGCTGCCCGAACCAGAACCTATGCAGGTGGGACGTACACGTTTGACACCTGATGAAAGACAAAGACATCGGGAGTCAAAATTGTGTTTTTATTGTGGAAGGGATGGACTTTATGTAGCAGCTAGCCCATTTCAGGGAAACAAAGATGCCTGCTAGTAAAAAGGGAAATACTGGTGGGCACTTCCTCCTTCACCCCCCCTCATAGACTTACACTCCCCACAGTCATCCAAGTCGACCAAAACCATTTCCCTGTTGTAGTTTTGGTTGATTCAGGTGCTGAGCAAAATTTAATCAGTCAAGATTTGGTCCAAGAATTATCACTTCCTGTTCAAGAGATTCAACCTGTTTCCATAGCAGGAGTCACTGGAGAGACCCTGGCTCAGATCCGCTTTAAAACAGCTAACTTACATCTAATAACTTCTGGTAACCACCATGAATACATTGATTTTTTTATATTCGACTCACCCAACACCCAGTGTATTTTAGGATACCCATGGTTGCAACATCATAACCCCCATATTAATTGGGAACTGGGGAGGGTGGAGAAATGGAGTGACAGGTGTCTTAAGCACTGCCTTCGTTCTGGTATTTCCAACCACTCCAGACCTGACTCGCCCACCAAAGAGATCGACTTGTCATCCATTCCCCCCGAGTATCACGACCTGGCCCAAGTATTCAGTAAACAGAAAGCTTTATCTCTGCCTCCCCATCGGCCGTATGATTGTTCCATTGACCTTCTGCCTGGGGCCCCGCTACCGGCAAGTCGCCTCTACAACCTCTCAGGCCCCGAGAGAGATTCTATGAAGACCTACATTGAGGAATCCCTCGACTCTGTCAGTCTCACCTCAGGTTACCACCCCCAGTCAAATGGTCAGGTAG